AAGGTTAATCAGATAAGGTTGATTAAAATTAAGCTACCTATCAGAATTGCAATCACAAAATCTTATACCTTTCAGTGATCTCCCCTGCATAAAAGCAAGTGGGTGCAGCATCCACCTGAGATTTAAAAAACTGGCATGCACCGACCTGAAAATCCATTTGCACCCACTTGAGAATAATCATGAAAAATGGGCATATTTTGACCAATTTCAGTGTGAATTGTGAAAATGAGAATTTCTTCACCAAGTTCAGGAAAACCTGGGGAGATCACTGCCTTCACTAGTTGCTGTTGAGAACTTTAAAGAAATTTGGAAAATTGAAAGGCAGCTATTTTCTTGAAATATCAACATTCCCTGGAGTTACCACAAACCGCTTACCACAAGTTTACTAAAAGAAGACAATGTAATGATACTTTCCTGAAAGAAGCAAGGAAATACTATATTTTGTACCAGAAAACTGGTATAGCATTTTTTCAAAAATGTTTTCTTGAACCATCACCTTGAGGAGTTGTTATTCATTAATTTACTATAGAATGTAAATACATGTTTAAGGGAAGGGCAATCGCTAAAAGGTCAAGTAAGGTTATTATTCTTAACTATGTTGTCAAAAAAAATCTTTACAATGTTGTACAAAAAAAATAAAAATTATATTTAATTGCCATGGAGCAAAGATTGCAATAAATGGTTTGTAAAACTCTCAAGTGAAACATACCATTTACTGAAAAAATACGCAAGAAGGTGTAATAATCAAGTCTTTTATAGTGTTTTACGTTTTACAAATACAACGCTGAATGACCTGACCTTACCATTAAAATCATGCAAGGGTTTCATTGACTTGCCAGAAATTAATAACTAAATCAATAAATTAAACTATTGCACGATCATGTATTCTCAAATTATCTATTTCTTATTTTTCTCCCTTACATATGTGATATATATAAAACTTAAGGGAGATGTGTGAAAGCAGAGTTAGAAAAAATAGAGAAATTTTATGGATGGGGAAGTTTAAAATAAACACCAGAAATAAGCCTTCACTACATGTTCTATTTTGTTTTCACAGAGTATATCAGAATAGATGAACTATAGTATACTAAACAGCTCAGTGAGGCGAACAGTTTTTTATATTTTACTTGTTTTGTAAGACTTAACCTGCCAGCTGGATTCTAAACACTGTGATGTGGGAAAATAGCAGAATGAAAATATTGACTGTTTTCATACAAAATACAACAATACATTACGGAATAAAGAACTCTAAGGCCAAACAGAGAATTGCTCAGAGCAGCTATTTTATTTTGGCAACTTACCATTGAACTATGAAAATGTTGCGAAAAAACAGAAACTATTTGATATTATTTATTGGGTTTGTAATCATGGCAGCCGTGACTTTGGGAGTCTTTGATAACTCAATAAGTCGAGATTTTCGTAAAGTGGTTATAACTCATAAAATTGAAGGACTGCTACGGAAAAATGTTAAACTACATCATGAAGCTGGTGAATTTCATGCTTCAACTACAGATGTACAAAATGTTGATCATATTCTAGGATCAGAAATATATGAAACTATTCTAGATAATAATAAAATGGTTCAACCAAATGTTAAACCAAATAAAGAGGTTGAATCAGCTCAGGATGTTCAACCTAATTTAGAGGTACAATCAAATATGGATGTACAATCAAGTAAAAATATACAACCAAGTATGGAAGTGCAACCAAACGTACAACCAAATATGGAATTACACCCAAATATGCAACAGACGGTGGATATACAACCAAATACAAAGATACAACCAAATATAGATATATACCCAAATATACAACAAAACACACAGGTACAACCATTTAGTGTATACCCAAATGCAAATCAAAACTTACTGATCTATAACAGATTCCCAAAAAGTGGCTCAACGACTATGAATTACTTTTTAAGCCAAAGAAATGGGAGTAATTTTATTTTTATCCATTCCAACACTTACCAAAGACGACTCCACAGTACACAGGAAATTCTGGATTTTATACAATCATTCCAAAATTTAACTACTACAAAAAAATACTTATTCGACCGCCATTTACATTTTGTGAATTTTGAAAACTTCGGTTACAAACAGCCGATTTATTTAAACTTGCTACGAGAGCCTCTGGAGCAAATACTGTCTAAGTACTATTATAGGTATTACAGATTGTTGAATCCCGATTATGCCAAAGACTATGGGGCTGATAGACTGGCTGAGTTCTACAGGGAACACAAAAATCAAACTTTTGAAGAATGTATCCGAGATATTGCTTTTAATAAGAAAAGTACCATCAATGAAAATATAAACAGTTTGATTGGTGAGAATAGTGACTTGGATGGTAATGCCATTGATAAAAATAGTATTTTAGATGACAAAAATGGTATAAATAAATATAACAGTGTGTCTTTTAATGACGTAAGTACTATGGATGATAATAGAACTATTAATGACAGCGGTGCTAATAATGACAGCAGTGCTATTGTTAATGACAACGGTGCTATAAACTACAAAGATCCTATAAATGTAGGCCTTCAAAAACAATGTTTTTTCCACAAGGGTCAGAAGTATGTTGAATGGTTCTGTGGCCATGACGATAGCTGTTCAAATATGGAGTATGGAGTACCCCAAGCTAAACACAACATTGACAAATACTACATGTTGGTAGGCCTAACAGATGAGTACTCGAGAACACTAAACGCAATGGAGCAACTACTTCCATCCTATTTCGAAGGTATGGGGAAAATTAATACTAGAGTAAAAATGAACAGTGTGCCGTCTAAATATAAGAAGAGACCGACTTCACAGGAAGTAATTGATTTTGTGAAAAGGAGATTAAAATATGAATATGAAATATATAATTTTGTGAAACAGAAGTTTTACAAAACTTTACAGAAACTCAACATCAAATGAACATCAAGATAAGCTAAGTTAAATATAAGATAAATTCAGGATAAGCTCAGGGTAAGCTTATAGTACAATAGAGATCAAGACATAAGTTCAACATAAGTTAAAATACAAGATATTTATATGATTTTTAAGTATCTATTAGTAAAACGTGAAAATATTACAAATTCCATTAATTACAGTTTATCATAATAATGAGAATAATATGTCAATTTTCAACATTTAATTAAAATATTTTGATTTTGATGCATTCTACCATGATTTATAAGTATCTATATAAAACGTGAAAATATTACGAATTCCATTAATTACAGTTAATCATAATCATGAGAATAACACAAAAATTTTGATTGAGCGGATCTACTCTTTAGCGAATGTTAATAGTTGTAAAAAACAAAGTTTAGAGGTAATACACCCTAAAGGGAATAGGAGAGGAGTTAAAAAAATGATTTCAATAGTGGCAATTTTTGTAAGAAATATTCTAGTTAAATAGAAATTAACATTTAAAATTTGTTATATGGGGGAGAGGGAGGTAATACCTTAATTAATTGTAGTTAATTTCCACAACTGTCAACATTCACTATCCCTTATAGTTCAGAATGAAAGGCAATCAACATTTTTTATGGCATGTAATTTATACCATTTTCTTAAAGGCCCCATATAAAGTTTCAACCTCTTTGGCTAAGATTATAGTCCTACTCAATGTTGTCTAAATGTGCTATGAAAAACGTTCAATTTAATTTCAAAAAGTTGACTTTGAAGGACTTTTTGTTCAAAAAATTGTGTATTTATTTCAAATCTTTATTTAGTGAAAAAAATAAGAAGTTAACTCATAAACCCAGAAAAATGACTCAAAGAAAAAAAATCATTTAAAATTTTAGTTCTCGTTGAATCTGATGGTACTTGTACATAAATATTTTTAAAAAAATTATAAAATGTATTTTCAATCAAGATAGGTGAGCAATATTGCTTTATTTGAGAGTTTAGCATATCTAGAAAACGTGTACCAGAAAGAATTGTCAATTTTTGAAAAATATTTTGCCAACTGAGTGATATCACAGTGTGTCGTTATGACATCACAAATTTTAAAAATGCTTTAAAAGTTTATATGCATAAAATGGTTGACATAATTTAACCTTTCAATGATCTATTTAATGGAGTGTAGAAAATATTGTGTTTTCAGTGTTAAGTACATATTTGATGATCTAAAATGGTGGGAAATACAAATATTTGAAAATTATATGATCAACTTTATTTCTGAAGTCTCATTTTTCAAAGATGTCTTACATAGTTTATCAAGTCATGAAAAGTAATACATGTACCCGTATTTCAATTATTAGAGTAAATTTTCAAGCTTTACATGGGATCTTTAAAAATAAAATGTACCATTATACATAAAATGCACCATCACATATATACATATACCATATTGAGCACTCCACCAAAATTAATATATTTTCTTAATCATACTGTACTTCTACTCAATTTGGAAGCCGTTTTTAATTTGGCGGATTTGCCAAATTGTTATAGTCCACCAAATTAAGTCAACGCCAAATTCTAAAATTCCTGGGGATTCGCATTGCTCGAAATTTCGATTGAATATTCTTTTCACTTTTGTATAATAACAGCAACAATATGTCCGTTCTCAACTACATTAAAAGAACCAATGATATTTACTAATCAAATGAAAATCAACGGATAGCAGCTCATAATAAAAAGTGCATCCTTTGAAGTTGCACGGTTTTTCAATATTGCAAGTCTGCCAAATTAAGTAGCCGCCAAATGCTCAAAATGATAAATCTGCCAAAATAAGTAGCCCCAAATTAAGCAGAAGTGCAGTAACATATATAATATTTATTAATATAAAATATATTTATGTTTCTTCTTCTGTGATTGGTTGAACAAAGATCACATGACATTATAAACACCCTGTGATACTTCTGCAATATAACTAACTTGCGAAAGATACAAATGTTTTAGTCTCTATAATATTATTGTATTTAAGGGAAAAAGACGAAGCTTGTGCTAATATACAATTACGGCAGCTGATTTTTGTGATTATTATTTATTACAAAAAGAATGAAATCAAAATTGCGATGTAATCGAGGCTTTTGGCAATGTCAAATATTTGCCATAAGTCATAGAATTGATGTCTTTGTTTGGATTTTCATATTTGTAACAAGTAAGCTATTCAAAAACTTATTTCAATGGGGGTCATTGCTCAATTAGGAGTTGTATATACTTTATTTTATACCTCCAATTTAACTGTTATATTTAATGTAGTGTTATTTACCATATTTGATTAAAATGTTAAATGATATGTTTTAATGCAGAAAACTGTACTGAGTTTTAAGAATATAGAAATTTCTGTTATTCAGAAAATTCAAATTTCTGAGAAATTAAATCTGTTGTAGAGAACCTGAAAATCCTTGAAATCTGAATAATCTATCGGTAAAAAATTGTGCAAATCAAAGATGTTTCATTAAGAAAGTTACCAACAGAATGCAAAAAGAAGAAAATGTTGGTCCTAAATGGTTTAAGACACAGATCTCCTAAGATTTCATAAAATCAAGATGTCAACGTGATTTCAAAGCTATTTAGCAAAACCTCAAAAACTTTTTGTTCCTGACGGTCTGTGAACTCAAAAATGTTCTATTCATTAAATTTCAAGGCACATAATATTTATAATATTTGGGATAAAGAACATTTAACTGGTGCCTTTCGAAATCTTTGAAAAGACCAAAATCAAGAACTAATTAAGGTCATTAAGGCAAAAGAACGTCTAAGATTTATATTTGCCACAAATCATAGAGTATCCATATGTACACATATATACCTTTTATGTATATGTATATATATGTATATGTACCCATATGTCTGAGAGATAGACATGATAAATAATCAAAAGATATAATGATACACGTCGGTATAAAACACATTGGATTTGTTAACCGTGGCCAGATGGCTGATTGTAAGCTTTACTATTAATATAAAAGCAATTGCATGTTTTTTGTAAAAATCTAAATGTCAGTTGTTTCACCACCAGGTGGCCCTTTCTGGTAAGATAACACAACATCACATACAGAGTTTCCCTAAGTCACTTGAAAAAAATAGATCGATTCAGTAGACTATAGCAGGATTTTAAAACCTGTTCCACTTGTGAGGTGTTCCACTTACAAAGGTTTGGCAGTTTCTACTGTATATTATGACTGGTCAATAAAATAATTTTTCAGCTTGACTAAATTTTGAATATTCATCTCACATATTCAACTGACATTTAGATTATTATCTAAAAGACCTGTATTCGTGTACATTTAGCTACTTTTCATAAACTTATAATAAGTTCCTGTAATTGTTCATCCCGCCAAGGATACAACATAAAATTTAATTGTAACTAATTGTAATTTAACTGTAATTATTTTATTTAATTGTAATCAATATTTTTGACAACTGTTATGAAAGATGTACTGAAATACAAAATTAAGAAAACAAAATGTGTATGATTTTGTTAACATTTTCTATTACAGCATGTCAAACGATCAGAGTCCATGTCAAATATTAATATGTCAAATATTAATATGTCATATATTAATATGTCATTTTTAAGTGATAATACACATACTCTTGTTGGGGGAGGGATAAAAAACTAACTGGCATTAAGCAAATAAACACTGAACTTTGAATAGGCTATTCATGTACATTACCCTATTTAATAATTTGATTTCATAAACACTCACTCACTCCATAAAGAAGCAATGCAATAACAGCAATTGGAACAAGGCATTAACACACAAAATGTCACCACCTGCCATTTGTTATAGACAGCAGATACCAAATGCCGAACACCAACTGCCATTCACAAAAAAATAAGAGGTTATAACAATATTACACCACTTTTGACAGTGACATGACTATTTTTTTTCAAATTTTTCTTGAGCCTTGAAACAAGACATTTTCCATTACTGCCCATCAGAACTATTATGAATGACTCGTAGAAAAACATATATTTAAGTTTGTTAATTTTAACTAAATTTTATTTCATCATTTAAATCCGTAGAAATTATATATGTTGAAGATAGAATCAAGACTTTATTTTCAACTACATATACAGTCATATTGAATGCCATCTATCAATAACTTTATTTACTATGTTTAATAAGATCTGATAAAATAGCAGGTGTGGGCCTGTACATTAGTTATTTAAATAAAAAAAAAATTACTAGTACTAGCTATGACATGACTCTATTATACATATATATCATGGTTGTAAAACTAAATTCTATTTACTTATTTAAAACGTTAATAAAACACCCATCACAGTGTCAATTTGATATGGAAAAATTGATTTGAAAAACAAACAGGCAGATATTTTGAAGTACTGGAGTCTGGCTATTCAAGTTTCTCAAATTAGTGGTATTTTGTATCAATGTTTGCAGGTTAACTCCCACAGTGAATAGGCCATGCTAAAATTAGTGGAAACTTGAATGTTTTTTCAAAAAATCAATGATTATGAAAGGCTCGCCAGTAGTGACATCTTTACAATTTGTGCACATATCTGTAGTGCCAGATCACAATTCCTGAATTTCTAATCTAGCTACAAAAGTTGTGACCTCCTCCCATTAATACACACACTACCACATGGTAGTGAAGTAAATAAAAAAGGGAGGTTCCAGGGACTCAAAGAAAGTCTAGTGAATTTCAACTGTGTTTCAAAATGTATGTACAGACTATTATGAGAGGAACAATTACTTAAATCAAGCATGACTCATACTAAAGACTAGACTAAAGGACGATTCTCGGTTTGGAGAACGAAGTTCATCAATCTAAATGAGCATTATCCCTGCTTCGGACAATTTTGATTTTTTTACATAATATAGATTTGAATGTCTTCTTTTGAATAGTCATAATTTAATTTGGGTAATATTTCTAGATTTTTCGCAAAAAAATATTAGCGCAGTACACTGATGAACTTCTTTCCCCAAATCGAGACTTGTATTTTATTGAATCGGTCTAATTGAGCGTTATCCCTGCTTCAGACCAATTTGTTATTTTTACATCTTTTAGATTTAAACGTCCCCTTTTGAATATTCATTGTTTAATTTGGGTAATATTTCTATATTTTTCATGAAAAGATTATTAGCCCAGGAGACTGTTCTCCAAACCGAGAATTGTCCTTTCAGGGGAAATCATCTTTGAATGGAAGCTGTAGGTTATTAGGGTGTATCTTCAAATTAAAATAATGCAACCAGTTGCCGATAATTTTCATACACATGCTTAAAATATCAGCTGGGCCACATCTACGCTGCCTTGAGTGGGTCAAAAAATATTTCAATAAAAAATAAAAATAAAAAATATTTCAATATTATGACTCACTGCTTGTTTGATGACAGCCCTCATGGTACCAGAAAGTGCAGCAGCCATGCCAAACCTGCCATTGTTCAGTATGTTCATAGCAACCTTAAAGCCTCCACCTTCACCTCCAAGGACATTTTCTGCTGGAATCTTGACATCTTCAAAGTACACTTCAGCTGTATTGGAGCACTTGATGCCCATCTTCTTCTCAGGGGGACCACTACAAAGGATGACAAAATATCCTGAGAAGTTGTAATTTTTTCTGTTATTCTTATTTACTAACTATTTAAAATCATTTAACAATACAACAATGCTATCATATTCAATCATTAAACTTATGGCAATTAGTGTTGTCGTGATGTACATTGCCAAAAATGATTCTGGCGATGCACCGACGACCTCTACTTTTTTACATTTGTTTTTGTACACAGTTACCAGAGGTATCATTTATTTGTTGCATGTTTAAGTACATATGCGCACTAATGGCATCATGGAAGACATACTGATTGACCATAATACAATACTAGACAACAGCAACGCCAAATGAGCAAATCCCATCGAACAGCCATGGCTGGTATTTTTACAAAGTATATAGCAAAAATGGCAGCCATTTTTCAAAACGGCTGCTTTCTACCAAAAGTGTCATTAGACAGTGGGCCATGCTTAAAGTATTCACATACTAAATATGAACAAAATCGCTCTTCTACTTTTCCAGTTATAGTAAAATACGTTAAAATGGTGGCCATTTTTCAAAATGGCCGCCTTCTACCAAAAGTGTCACTAGACAGTGTGCCATGCTTATAGTGTTCACATACCAAATATGAACAAAATCGCTTCACTACTTTTCGAGTTACAGCAAAAATCGTAAAATAATGAGTAAAGGCCGCCATTTTTTCAAAATGGCTGCCACGTGCTTCTTTAATATCTACATTTCTAGCTTTATTAATGTCCTATATAATTTTTTTACATTTAAAACATATTGCTATTACAGTTTTACATATTGCACCTAAATTACTGTAAACTTGGCACTAAATGGCCACCATTTTTAAATGAGCGGCCATTTCGAAAATCCCCTTTAGAGCAGAACTTCTACCCCCATAGGGTATAAGTATACAAAATATGAACGAAATCGGGCCATTGGTATTTGAGTTATTGCCCGGACGGACGAACGAGCGGAACTTTGTTCGATGGGATAAAAACAGATGATTTTACAGTTTTGATGCTGATAAGATCTTCATAATCTCAATGGAGTTTATTGGAATTTATAAATTTTACTTTGGAATTAAGGCTTTAAATGCATTATGTGCAACATAGCATGATTTTATGATTTTCATATACTTTTGATTTGTTATTGTTAAATTAACAGATATCAAATACCGAATGAATGCATAAATTTTTATACTCCAGGGTGACATTATACTGACCGTCACGTTTTGATATACATGATTTCCGGAGACTGAATGGCTCTATAGTTTCAACTGAACAAAGCATGGACAAAAGGCACTAAAGCATTGTTTTAACTTTATTCTAACATGATTGAATGTTCATGAATGACACATTAAATGTCATCATAATGGTTTGAAAAGAATAACAATGATAATTATCTATTGAAATATGCTCTGCTTTCTTCTTTGAATGAAATCGTGTGGACGTACCCCACAGCTGACATTTCATTTACCCACTCTGTGAACACAGGTGAACTACACGGAAAGATCAAAAACATGACATCGCCATTTCAAATTCTATTTTCTATTGTTTTCAAAATGTATATAAGCTATGAGGTTTGAGGCATCTTCACTATCGTTTTATACAGCGAAATTACTGCTATCAAATCAGGAAAGTTAGAATAAGGTAAGGAGTATTTTATTCATTTATTTCAACCATGCAGGATTAATTTAATTAATGCTTGTCTTTCCATGAAAAGTTGAGATTAACATAATCATTTGATGATATATTGTCAATAAAATAAAACTAGGCCGACAATATGGCCCCACACTATGTGGTGGGGACATAATAAAATAATAAAAAGTAATATCTATTATACTAGTTTATGATTGTAATTTAACCATTAAACATTATTTGATTAACATTACTGTTTACACATACTTTATTTCCAATAAAAGAATAATTTGCAGATAATGAAAACATAATATTTAAAAAATTGTTTCAATATCAGAATCGTATTATATTAATTACCCATTTGAATAGACTTGATGAAAGTAGAAACAATTTTGATTTACATCATTAAATATTCAAAATTCGGTCAAAGTGATATCATATTTGAAATCTACATGTAAAATTGTATCAAGAAATGTGGATATAAAAACTGTATATCAACACTGAAAATTTAATTTTCTTTGAAAAAGTGAAATATCCTGTCTTTTATTGGACAGATAATTTATTTATTTATTTATTTCGACTTACACTTTTAAAACATAATATTTTGTTTTACTGGACATATTTTCATTTGAACATCTATCAGATACATAAGGGAAATATGAAAATTGATCGACTAAAACTGATGATTACTCAAGTTTAAGGGAACTTTCGAATATACCTGCTATGTTATCTGAGCCAAATTAGCCACCTGATGGTGAAACTGGTAACTACCTACTTGCATCAGTATTATTGGAATTTTATCTTGTAACATTTATTTTTATCTTGTTGCAGTGAAAAGAAAGTATCTTAAAAATAATACAAATTCTATGTATGTTTAATTCTATCCATGTATGGTTGTATACAATATATGATATGTATGTATACAATACTTATTGCCCTTTATATACTGTACAGTATATATTACAGAAATTATAATGTATGTCACAAGAATGGCTTTTTTGTATAGTTGGCTTAACTGCATTTACTTGATTTCAGAACATAAAATTCAATAAAAATGAAAGTGTTCACTGGTTTACTAACATGTTTTTGTATAGTTGGCTTAACTGCATTTACTTGATTTCAGAACATAAAATTCAATAAAAATGAAGGTGTTTACTGGTTTACTAACACTGATGCTGATCTCTGCACTGGTTCTCCCAGAGGCAGAAGCAAGGGGTTGGTTCAGACGTGTGGTTGCTAGGGTGAAGTCAGTATTCTGTAGCAATGTAGTATCAAGGGTGTGTGAAAGGAATGGAGTATGTAAATGGATCAATAGGAGAGTATGCAGCAAACGAGACCTTGACTCAATCCAACTTGAGTTGAGAGATGTTGATGAGGTAAGAATACAACCATATGTGCATTAATCTTAGCTTGTATTTGTGAATGCAACTAACGGCTGTCAGCAACCTGATTAATCTGCTATCTAATGGGCAACTCATTTAACTATGAATAGTACATGCCACTATTCCATTCATATTAAAACTTGTTGGTCATAAAATACTAGGTAAATCCGCTAGCCGACAGCCGTTTTTTTTAAATTCCTGAATACAAGATTACATATTAATCAGTAAGTCAAACTAATCTCAGAATATTACATATGATTTTATAGTTTTGATACTGACCTTAATATATTATCCAAATTTAACTTTTATTTCTTTTTATGGTAGTTCGAATTTGAAATCAAATACTTATAAGCAGAAAATAAAGTGTTTAGATTTCAAAGAAATATAGTATCTATAATAGAAGGTGAAGACATGAGGATTCCAAACTAAATAAAAAATTAAAAAATAATTGTGTTAATCTTTGTTTGAGCTTTCAAAGATATTTAAAACTATAGAAAAACTTGTTTATTCCTATTTAAAATTTCTTCAATTAATTCTAGGGTGATGATGAGAAACATTTGTGCCCCATGCCTGTATCATTTGATATCTTTGACATCAATGAAGATGACCGTATTGATGCTAAAGAATTGGCAAAAACATTCAACATGAACTGGAAAGACACCCAAGAAAAGGTTATTGATGAGTGTGATGGAGATGGTAAGTTGTTAATTACTACAACTAGAAAACAGCAACTCCAAGGAGTACCAAATCACACCGAACAAAAATATAATAAATAAATAATAAATAAATAAAATTAATAATAAATATGATAAATAGCACCCACTTTGAAGATTTCTTCTTGAACAGAGTATCGAAATATAAAATTGAACCAGATCTGCCAACAGGTATTTGAGTTATCAAAGATTATGTTTTTTATGAAAAATGGCAGCCATTTGAAATTCAGCTGCCATTTTGCAAAATGCATGAAGAAAACATTGAGGTATGATAATATGTTATCAAGTTGGAGTGAGTCCAGTTTTTAAGAGGAAAAGCATGAAGTATCCTATTATCGCCCATTTATGAACCATTGAAAATCCCCAATAATTTTGTAATTTGAGACATCTCCTCCAGAAGATTTTGGGAAACGCACTAAGCATTTATTTGAACGAATACACTATGTGTAAAAATAATACATCCACCAAGGTCTATTGATTTTAATCGAGTAAATATTATTTCAGGAGACAATGCACTCAGCGAAGAAGAGTTTGAAGATTGTCCATTTGTATTTGAGGACAGATTACTGGATAGTGGTATGGACATGATTGCTACATATATTATGTTAATTTCAATCTTATTTTCTCCACATTTGTAATGACTTCAAGATCAGTTAAGAGTTCACAAAATCTCAACCGTCATCTACTTGTGAATCAATAATTCGTTGCATGCTTAGGTTCATCTTATAGATCCCTGTTCTGTTTATATATGTATTTGTATTTAATGACATTTTTGGAGATTAACTCTTTTCATGAAGTTGACAAACAACTTATTTGTTTTTTCAGGTAAACAGCCACAGTTCATTGCCAAACAAAGGAAAGAAAGGAAGAAGAACAACAAAAATGAAGACTAACAAGCAAGAAAATAAGGACCAGAAACAAACAACCAACAATCAAACAAACACTTAATTGAACAATGCACAATAGCTTTATCAATACTCTCTTACATTTGTTGATGTGAAATAAACAAAATTGCTTCCAAAGAAAATTTTTTTCATTCTTGTATTAGAGATTAATCCTGTTAAAAAATTGTCTCTTGATATTTTTTATCTTATGCTTCAATGATTTTTAATCTTGACTCTAAATTTCTAAAGTTTTCTATAACTATGTCTATAACTTCTAAAATGGGAGTATCATTTGAATGGGATAAAGTTAGAATGCTATCCATTGTTTTCTACCTAATTTTGGTTACCAAAATTTGATGTTGTTCAAATGTTTCAAAACCATTGTATCTTTGAATTCTTATTTGATCAAAACAAATCAGAACAACGGCAACGCCAAAACGTAGCGAATCCCATCGAACAGAAATGGCTGGCATTTTTACAAACAAAATATATAGCAAGTATCATAAAATAACCCACATAAGAAAGGCCACCATTTTCAAAATGGTTGCTCACCAGCCAAGTTGTCATCAAAAGAAGTAATACGCTTATAAGGAGCCACATATAAAAAATTTAAAAATTCGCACACACATACATGTAAATGGTGGCCATTTTTTAAAATGGCCGCCTACTACCCAAAATGTCATAAGACACCACCTGCCATTTGTTACAGACACTGACAGCTGTTACAGATGCCAACACTGCTACAAATGCAGAGCATCGAACACAAACTACCGAACAGGATTTAAATACTGAAATACATTTATATAGGAGAACCAGCACCTGGAGTATAACACTTGTGTCTGTCATTAAAAAAAACTATGTGTTTCTCACCTTGTCACACCACCAAAGTCTCTCTCCACAATGAATGCTGTAACTTTATCCACCATTTCTCCTGTCTTTTCACTCTTCAATGATGTCTGCAAAAGTGAAGTATCAGTTGATTAGTATATGCCCATAGTATATTAGGGCTAACATGGAAGAAAATCTGATTTTTTGAGTTCATTCACAATTGTCTATATTTTAAAGTTCTCTATACCAACAGAAAACGTTGTTTTTAAGAAAAAAAGTTTCTGATTAAGATTGAATGGTTTGAATTATATTCTGTTTCCAGTACCCGCTGAAATACATAGAGAACAAAACAGAGAGCTCTATATATCATTATAAATGCATTTAACTCTAATAGGTAATATTTCTAATTAAAAGGAAAATACATTTTGAATACACCTATAAAAAACACGTCAGATTCCTATACCTGGGCAAACACTGTGAAGACATCAGCAAATCCCCCATTAGAGATCCACACTTTGCTGCCATTTAGAACCCAGTACTTGCCACACTCAGACTTTACTGCACGAGATCTTATTGACTGAAAGGAGAATCAAGAGTATAAATACAATAAACTGGCTGAGAGGAGGTAGGTATCGAGTCTCAAATTTTTCTACCATTTCTGATGTAATCAAAAGTTATCCCTGAAAAGGAGGAGGGAAGTTAGCGCACTTATTCCTTTAAAGTGGTTAACTATGTGTCAAAATGCAACATATTGATGCAAGAAAAATTAAAAAAGCAGGGATGGAAGGGGTCGAAAATTAGGAAAACATTTCAGAAAAAACATGTGGGTGGGTTGTTTGCATCTACCCTGTCTCAAAGTCGAAATTATTTGATCATCTCTAGAAGTGATTTTCCTGGAGGTAATGCATTGGCCTAACATATGCACCTGTTTAAATCCTCAGAAAATGGCCAAAATCCAACATATGACTGTCCAAAATCTGTTGCGCTAATTTCCCTCCTCCTTTGAAGGTGATATCTGTAGCAGTTTTGGAAAAATATATAAAAATTGAGGGACAAATAGACAGACAGACAGACATACATACTAGGGGTGAGACGACAACCCGATGAGTCGAGGACTCGCGGGTTTGGGGCTTCGAGTCGAGTCGAATCGAGTCGAAGTTGATGAATCGAATCATTTTCGAGTTGAGAAAAAAATTCGAAAAAATAAAAAAATTCAGAAAAATACTGTCAATATGCATGTTTTTACTCGATATTGCGTTGAATATATAAGTTTCAATGACTTGGATATGCTTGTATTAAATTATTATATTGTATGTACACATAAATGAAAGAATATATGTAATAAAATCAGAATAAACTTACGACGAATTGTGTTTGTTTATATTTCCGGCTTTCCACCATTGACGCATTAAAAATACGAACGGTCAAAAGCGATGTTGTTCGCACTTTGCGCGACTCGAAACGGATTCGAAACTTGAATCGTCATTTTCTGACTCGAATCGGATTCGACTCGAATTGGATTTTTTCGACTCGTCTCACCCCTAATACATACATACATACAGATGCCAGTCTGAAAATATGACCCCAGTTAAGTGGAACACCCCTGGAAGTAAAACATCTTCATAGGTGGACCACTTTTCAGAGTCCAATGAGTACTGCGGAATGGATTATGTAACCAATATGTCATGTTTTGTGGAATCTTAAGGTGAACCACATAATAATGAATTTTAGGGTTAAGAAATCAATAAAGCAGACAACTTTGTTCACATTCAAATATTGAGTTAAATTAGACATACACTAGCATCAGAGCCACTGGATGGTTCGGTTAATGCAAAGGCTGCCATCTTTTCTCCGACAGCCAATTTGGGTAAATATTGCTGTTTTTGTTCTTTGGTGCCGAATAGGGTGATTCCCTTGAACCCAATAGACTGAAAAAGAAATCATCATCATGAAATAGTCCTATGATTTTTCATTACATAGGGCAGGGAATATTTGGTCTTGCCACTTGGAAAAGCCTCTCTGTTATATGGAGAAGGGCACTGATTTATCAGCTATTTTAGCATAAACTCTACCATAAAAGTCAAATAACAGGAACAATTTATACAGATGTCAGTTGTCAGAGACAGAAAATGGAAACTACAACAATATACCAACATTTTTTGGCAATTCAAACTTGTATTTATGAGATACAATTATTGGGTTGTATAATCTGAGTCTATTTCATTTGCTTTTTCATTTCACTGAATCTTTTTATTCATGTTTAATAATATTCTGAGAGGTTGAGAATTTTAGTTATAGTTTCAATACAAAGATGGCAGCAGCTTACCTGATGTGCCCCAAGGGTGATTCCAACTCCAAGGTCATGGGCCCCAACTATCTCCACCAGTCTAGCATACTGTGTGTTAGTTAAACCAACTCCATCTGCAAGATTGATTTGTTGAATAGAAAATTTATTTGAAAATGAATTCACTTTTTTTAATATCACTTCATTTCCAGAAAGCAACAACTATTATTTCTTGATTTGCCAGATGATTTTGTTCAGAATGTCAAACATGTATTCTTCTTTTGCGAAACTTTCAAAATGGCTGCAAAATTCTTATTTATTCCTGAAAACATGTAAATCTGATGAACAGTTTTTCTTGTACCACAATCTTTATATTGACCATGGCTATGTTTCAAACCATCTGATTCCCTTTTAAAATCACATGTGAACTAATGAACTAGCAGTTCAGATGAGAATTAAAAGCTGAACTAGATTAGGTAGGTTTAGAATGTAAAGATCATGTTAAGGACTGATCTATATAAATCTAGCCTTTTGTTACTGTTAAAAAATGTCAGCCCAGTTGTGGCATGCTCCCTCCACTTACCATACTCATGTGGGACTTGCAGACCAAATGCTCCCATATCTTTTAGGCCTTGCATAGTTTCCTCTTCAATAACCTCTGTGGCATCATTTTTGAGTGAATCATTTTGCTCCTGTAAAGGAATATCAACATTATATTTGCAACGATTATAATGTAATTACCTTCTGGTGACAAGTTTGTATGTATTAACTGAGTGATGTTTAAAAGCACAGTCAGGCTTTTTATTAAATCCGAGGGGGTTCTCATTTGACCATCTGACCCAAAATCAAGGCCTGGTGTAATTTCCTAATGAAACACTTAGTAGTTTGTAACAATGTCTGTGATTGGTTCATCATCATGACCAAATATGAATTGAGAATACAACCAAGGCATTCTCAAATTTGAAAAAAGAATGCTTTGGTATACCAAAATGGGGCAATAACCCAGAATTCAAGATAAACTTAGAGGCTCATCTTGGCATATCATAAAAGTTCATCTTTGAATTCTGGGTTATTTCCCCATCCTGGTAAACCATCAATTCAATGGCAGATGAGAAACTGAAAATGTGCTATTTTACCTCGAAGAACTTTGCAGTTGGATCTATGAGCATCTGTAAGGTTTCCTTCTGTTCATCATTTAGAACTGAAAAACAATGAAATATGCTGTTTTTGAAAACCAAAGAAATGTGATGAAAATTATGAAAAATAAGTCCGTTGAATATGATATAAACTTGAACTCAATATTTATTTTGAGAAGAAAATCAACAAAGAAACATGTTTAACATAGATCAGAATCTGAAAAACATTAATCAAACCTCCGAACGTATTAATATCAAGTGGTACTAAATGTGCCCAATTAACAAACCAACAGGGCCAAAACAATATGATAAAACATTGAAAAATTATTCTTTAATAATTTGATATTTAACTTACAACTGAAAATGTAAATATTGAAATGTTGATATTTTGGACAACCCTTAGAGTGCTAACAGTTACGAGGTGGGGAAATAAAATGAAATCACTGTACCTTCTGGGAATGGGAAAACTTGATCTGTTTTGATTTGTCCTCGAAAAATGTTCATCAAAAATGAGGTGGACTCTGCTTTTTCCGAGTAACATTTCTGTGGAACTACCTGGATACATGGTCTGAAAAAGAACATAAATATTTAACTATGGGATATCAGATTTATCCAAATGAGATATCACTATGTGCCTCTTATAGTATGTATGTAGGCCAAACATGATGTATTCATAACTATCAGACTTAAATAAGTTATAATAACAAGATATAACTTTTATCTACCTACAGATATACAAGAAATCCTTTCCTTATATCTAAGCTATTTAAACTCATAAGAAAATACAGGAACAATGAAAGGGGGAATATAGCTACTTCTCATAAGCACTTCCAGAAATTCGTTTTTGATGATACAGGCACTTACTATTGACCTGTCAACAATTGGGACTTTGACATACACTGGATTTGGCTTTGTTCTGGACAGTTATTCATTTAAATTTTACCATTTTCTTATTCAAAAACTAGTTTAACTTTTGCCATTGACCTTATTATCAAATTTGTCAATGCTAAGAACCTTAATTAACTTATGGGTTGTATATTACTAGTTAACATCAAATCAAGTTGGCAGGGCTTGCATTAACGGCGTCCCTTACATGTAAGTGACGCAAAAAAAAATTGTAGGACGGAAAAATAAAAAATATTTCCGTTTTTGGGACGGAAAAAAAATTGAGTCAAAACTTTGAACATTTTTTGAAAATCTTGAAAATCTCAATAGTTGATCATGTTTGACTTCTTTGAGGTGTATATTAAGATCAAAATATGTGAGATTTACAACTTTATTTTGAGTAAAAAAGAAAAAGAATGCAGAAAAACGAACTATTGTAATGGGCGATAATATGTTATCAGTTTGCATGTGACATATTTTTCTCACTGAAAAGCTGATATAAAACCTTCAAATTACAAATGATGCATACTTACCTAGGTGAAGTAGTCTATTTGTGATTATATAACGTCAAAATGGTCTAATTTATGATATAAATCAGAGGATTCTGATCATGTAGAAAATGTAGTGATACACTAAATTACTGAGCGTCAGACAAATTCATACTAAAAAATGTTCTTATTTTTTCAAGCAGTTGTTCAGTGCAAACAGCAAGTATAAAGATAATCACAGTATAATAGTACTTACTATAACAGGCTGGAGGTTACATAACATAAGTGAATTGAATATAAAGAACATGTTTAAATCACAGGGCACGAATGGCAACATTTTGAAAACACATAAGACATGTAAGATCAAGTTATGCACATTCCAAAATAGCCCATTATAGCTAATTTAGCTTATATATTGGAGGACACACTTTTTTCGGTCGGGACTCACTTTTTAAAATTTTTTCCTTCATTGGGACTCACATTTTTCAGAGCCTAATGCAAGCGCTGAGTTGGTAATGAAACAAACTAAAATTCAAAATAGGAAAATCACAATGAATCATTTTGGAAATTAACCCATAACAAAATGAGGAAAGATGCAAGAGACAATCATAGAAAAAAATATGAAATCGATCACATAATTCATTTTTCATAAGGGATGGAACATTGGACCTCTTAACATGAATTATAACTCTAAGAGCATAACCAGACTAAAGTTCATTAAGTGTGGCTCTGAATTATCTCTGTACTTAGGACTTTGCACCCCACTAGAAATAGTCCAGAATGTTATCATAACATTTTTACAATATCTCATATTTTCATGAATGGAATAGTTCCCAGTGCACACACCCCTAGAACTGATATTAATATGAAAATTTAAAAAATGCAAGTATAGAGTAAGAGTTGAATTCATTTTACAGCATAGAGCAGAAAAATTGCTGACACTTTAACATGTTTTGTAGACCTCTATTAGTTGTGAAAAGTGACATGATCACATTTATAACAGCTGAGCAGTTGTAAAACATGTGAAAGTGGAACACCTCTGATACCTCTGAAAAGTTAAAGGGGTTCAATTCACATGAAGTCAACGGACCATTTGCTTTATAGATATATAGACAGGGATTTCACAATTTAACATGGAAAAGTTGAAAAGTCCCTAAAAACAACAGGCAATTTTGGGAAAACAAACAGTGAAAATCGCCTGTTGCCTGCTGCTAATGAAACCCCTGATAGAGATGGATAAATAGATGAAAGTTTAAAGTGTTCACATTACGTGTTCCACTTTCGGGTGTTCTACTTTACAGGTTTTATATCAAAAATGCTTTCTTAAGTATTGCATCAAGTCTAGTCACCACAAGCACTTCCATTTGATATTGAGAATGAAGGAGGGAGGGGTTAACACAAGAACTTGTTACTGATGTAGCTTGCAATCATATTAACGAAAAATCTCATTTACAAATCTTAACCTCTTGACTACCTGGAACGACAAAATTTCTCATCACCTCAGAGATGACCTTGAAAAGCAGAGTGATAAGAAAATCCATCACAAAACTTTTCACTAAAATTGCTAGAGTTATTTTAACAATTTTCGACCAATTTACACAAAAATAGTTTTAAAATGTGCAGAAATGATCTAAGCCATCTAATTTTACTAAGTTGAGCATCTAACGTTGTATAGTAGTAAAATGTCAAAAGGTGGCAAAAATGAAAAATTCTCTGGTTTCAACCAATTTTAGAGCCTGGGATTCAGGAGGTTAAATGAAATCCTAGTCATATATTTAATGTTATTTTGTAACATGCTCTTCAAATGAAATCTTTCTCACACAGTCATGAGTCATAATTAAATCAACAATCAAGTTCAACTCAGGTTACCTCCTTCCAAACTGTCACTGTATGCCAGCCTTGTGCAAGCTATAGAGCCTTATATATATTTTTTTTGATCGACATATTTTGCTTTTAAAGAACAGAATTACAAATGAATAAATACATGTATATTCATTGATCTTTTTGTACAGTTTCAATTCATACCATATACATCGGTAATATTTACTGTTTTCTGAGAGCATTGTTTTACTGTCGATTTCTTCCACTGTAGACCGAGCTGCCACCTTCAGACATTGCTCGCTAGAGTGAGATAAAGCTCAATGATAATGAATGTTTTTTAAAATTGCAGAACCTGTGATTTTGATTCTAGACGAAATCATGCAATTTCTCACATAGGACAAGCTCATGAACTATACTGACAAATATTTTTAAAACAACATGTAAATCAAATATTTCTCAAAGTCAAAATATTTCTTAAGTACACATTGTTTCACATGCCATGATATCTAGCCAAGTTATGAACTGTAGGGCCTATATCATAAATGTAATTGTGACAGATCACAGACATCTGGCTTACTATATTTGCACATAGCCATTTTTAGATGATGGCTATGTGCAAATATAGTAACCTCTGGCCTTGGCCTAAACGGTATATCCTTACTGAACACAGCTGGAAAAAAAACAATTACAGTGGGGGACAAAAATAAAACTCAACGTTCACAAGTTGTCACAATGAGCTAATTTCCAAGTTTCGTGTCTCAAACTCTCCCAAGCGGTAGAAAAATAATTCCCGTTCACTAAAGTAGCACAATAAATGAATCCAAAGCTTCATACCTGCAAATAATGGATAAATCCCTACCAAATCGAATGAATGTTTTTATGAATCACCATGTTTGTTATCCAAGGACGGTTGACTCCCAGAATGCAACATCAGTTACCGTATTTACTCATGACAGGTTTCGAAATGGCGGAACAGCATTTTGAAAGCTGGCATGTGTCATGTTGCATTCTGGGAGCCAATCCTCCGTTCCGGCGCAATCGGGAGACAAAATCACCTCAACATTTGAAAAGTCGGCATAACATGTGCATATCCACTTCAACTTTTGAAGTTCTTATTTATCATTAGGGACACAAATTCCACTATATCTGGACTTACTCAGACGGAGAAAATAGAGCACTGAATACAACGAGGTAAGAATTTATTACATGTGCGACAGCATGTAATTTTCATAGCTTTTGCAATTCTTTATGATCCCCACTGTAGGTAGAGGAGATAGGGGTAATCTCGGACATGGGGCATTGTCGGACGATCTTCAATAATTCTTTGTTTTATATGGTTTCTTTATTGAAACTTTGTATTAGACACATCATATTATAGATGTGGTGCTATATATTGTAAAAATTCTAACTTTGTCCCAGATTTGCACCTGATACCAAGGGTTTGTCCGGGAATGCCCCGTGGCTGAGAATGCCCCTATCTCCTCTATAGTAAGTATATCCCATAGACCTAAACCCCCATAGAAATCTAGGCCTATATAATTGGCTCTCCATTTGTTCATGGCCAAAATAAGTATGCTGGTTTATAGCTATCATGCTAAACCCCGGATCCATATAGTTTAAGGTTGACCCCAAATGTCCTCAAACACTTGGGGCATGAGTCAAGTGATGATGGAATTTCACTCAGATTTGTTATGAAAAAAACTCAATTTTACAAGACGCCTGAAGTTTAAAAATCAGATATCTTGATTTCTGAATTGGGGAAAAGTTTACGACTTACCTCGATAATAGAGTACCAGTTTTTACATTATTTAAACATTTCATATGCTTGATAATCCTTGTAGATCGATGCATTTTGGAGGTTTTACCGAGCAAATGATTTACGAAACACTTTTAAACGACAGATCTCGCGCAGGCGCAGTACAAGAAGTATGACGTCATGTCCGTTATGGCTGCTCCCGTCGATCGACTGAAGCAGCTCGAAAATATCGAAAAAGAGATAGCTAGCGCCTTACAATTTGCAGGTAGATATTCCTGGAATAAATTGAGACACACGTTAATTATTCTTGTCAACTTTAAATGTAAACTAATTCGCTTTTACCATCAAATTTACTTGTTTATTTACATGTTCATTGTTTTTTTTGTTTTTTCTCGTGCACTTTTTCATTATTGAGTGTCAAACAATACATTTAGACATCTAGTTAAGAGTATAGTATGTAATAGACGATGGCCCCGATCCCAATGGTCCCAATCTCAATCGTTCAAATCCCAAAGGTTTGAGTCCCAATCTAAACCTAATGATCTGAAAATTAACAATTGTTGATATGTTGTTTTCTGAGGAACCACAGGGAAATATCTTTTTATGCGTGTAAAGGCTATCATATAACTTGAAATAGCATGGGCTTTCAACTAGAAATTTCTAATTGAAAGGCCATGAAAATAGTAAGACAGCATCTAGATCTAATCACCCATATCATCTCTTGGCTAAAATAATACAATCCCAAATAATATGGCATGTACGGTCTCATGTACATGTATTAATAGATTATGGGATGAATTGAATTCCTGCCCTTTTGCGAATGATGAGCTGTTGGTTGGAGAAATTGTGTTTTGATCACACGATCACATGGCTTCTGTTTCTTACAATTATCTTCACCTAAAATAAACTTTCATGGCAAGTCATCGAGGTGTCAATTGATATGATTGTGACCAGACACATTTCCCCATAACAACTCAAACAAATAATCTAAATATCATATATCGCTGTTGATTCTCAATTCTTCAATAATTTGTAACATGATTATGTTACCCTATACCTTGCCTTTGTGGTTTTCAGGAAGATTTTCACTTGGTAAACATCTTATACAAACTCGAGATATATATTCTATATCGAGATATACAGTCTAGTTTGAGATATTTTTTAGACAATAGCGCCAGACTTTAGTTCTTCCCCAGATCTTTTATTATAACATTAAATGAAATTTTGGAGGGATTTTACATACAATATATAAAACTGTAATAGCAATACAATATGTTTTAAATGTGAAAAAGTTATATAGGACAAAATAAAGCTAGAAATGTAGACATTAAGAAACACTGGCCATCTATTTTACCATTTTTGCTTGAAAAGTAGTGGATCAGTTTCATACACATACTAGAATACTAGAACCAACTAAAAGTTCAAAAAAGTGGCCATTTAGAAAATGGCCACTATCTTTACAAAAGTAATAGAGTGATTTTGTTCATATCTGATATGTGAATACTCATTAGAATGGCAAAACTGTCTTATGACACTTTGGCTAACAGGCAGCTTATATGGCTGCCATTTACATGTACATGTGCGATTTTGTTAAAAAATTTTAAGTGCCTACTTAAAAGCATGTCACACTTGTGGCTCCTTGTCGTTACAGTTAAACTGCCAAAAGAATTTCTGAATCTTGCTGATTCAGACCAAATGAAAGCAGCTTATTGACATATAATATATTGTATTTCACAATTGCAGGTCACGCTGTTGGAGAACTATCAAAGGATACACCAAAGATTAAACAAGTAGAAAGTCAGACAACTCAGTTCTTGAAGACATTGGAGAACGTTGAGAGTGGATTGTTAAAGCAGATCAATTACCTCACTCAAGTTTCAACAGGTTTGTATGAGAGTAACTGACCAGGCCCATAGCCAGGGGGGGGGGGGGGTTCGCAAGGTTCGGGGCAACCCCCCCCCCCCTGGCCAAAAATTCTTTCAAAATCATGCAGTTTTTCACCATTTTAAGCACTTCTCAAGTGATTTTAGTCATATTTGGGCCAAAATTGTCAAATGTGAACCCCCTGGAAATGTTTTAAAACGGAACACCCTCTTTGGCAAATCCTGGCTACAAGCCTGCTGACTAAGGTATTATGCCCAGAGTATTCTGTCTATTCTGTATTCTGAGTACACCATAATGATACCAGGCCCATAGCCAGGGTGTTTGGGGGTTTGAGAGCCAAAAATCCTTTCAAAGTCATGCAGTTTTTCTGAGCACGTCAGCTTAGTATCTCTCCATTGGACCTGCTAACTGGAGATATTGAAACAATGACATTATGTAAAATGATGTTGGTTTTCTATGGAAACCATAGCGCAATCATTGCCGTTAGGTACATGGTACACAAACTACTTTTCAAAAGGTGCTCACTAATTGTAAATACAATTACATGTATGTCATAAGTGTCATCAACATAATTAACAAATCCTATTTAGCCTTAAGGGCAGTTATTATGGTGAATCATATGACACATTTGTGATCAATCTTATATAATATCATAAGTATCATCAACATCAACATTTAAGAAATCCTTTTCACCCTGAAGGCGCAGTTATTGGTTATTCATGACACATTTGTGATCAATCTTATATGATACATTGTAATATTGAATGAGCAGGTCAGGTGCAAGCAATCAATGCTGTGTTTTGTTTACAAACATATTTTGGCTTAAAATCAAATTAAGGCACACCATTCAACAATTAAAAGTGTATTATAGGTTTGTGATTGTAAACCATGAATCGTCTTCCACTCCCATGGTGAAGTTGTTCTAACTGAAACCTTGAAATCAAGATGGCCATCAGTCATCTCCCCAGCATTCAAGCAAGTTGGTGCAGCACCCACCTGAGGCTTGCACCCACCTGAAAATCCATTTGCACCCACTTGAAAATTAGAAAAATTGGCATCTATTTTTTGCCATTGGCAATTTTCGTCTGAATGGTGCAAATAAGAATTTTGCACCCATTTAGAAAAAGTCCTGTGGAGATCACTGCCATAAATACTATATATTTGATACAGTGCTTAGGAAAACATAAACATGTTAGGACCCTTATGATCATTTTGTATGTTTAAGTTCATTCAGAGCTCATAAAACTGGTGGATATAGAAGGTAATAAAGGGGGGCCCACATTTCAAGTTTGGAAAAAAATTCTGCGCTTGTGCGGAGAAAAAATTTGGGCTTCAAATTTTGAAAATTTAAGGCACTTTTTGATAATTTGGCATAAAAAGGCCAAGTTACGCCCAAGAAGGCCCTTTTCTTTAAGCCCTACTAAATTTTTGGGCCCTGAAAATTTTTTCTGTAAACCCAAGGGGGAGGCCTGGGTCCCATGCCCCCCCCCCTCCCTGGATCCGCCAGTGCATAATACTTTGCCATTCTAAATCAGAATCCATCTTTATTTAATGCACAAGAGGTATTCAAAAGGATAGTACAGGCTATGGATCCAAACATTTTAGATTTCTGTGTCCAGGAAGTTTTAAAGGCCCACTTTGCGTATTTTCAATGTTTTTGGGCAAAATAAAGAAAAAATAATTTTAGTTATTGTTTCATATTTGAGGGAGTGTGTGAGTAACATGTTTCAATGATTATTATTTTCTTTTATCTTCTAAATTAAGTATAGTGGGCCTTTAAGTCATGAAAACTCATTCAACCATGATATTTGCAGTCAGTAAACATATATATTAAGTACTTAATGTCTCTTTTATACTGAAATTATCTTTGCTAGAAAAAACATTTAGTCAGGGAATCTTACACTTGAATCTGGGAAAAGTGAAAGAAGTTTGATTTAAAATGTGGCAACCTAGTGGTATATGAAACCTGCAAAGATAATGATGTATGTTTTATCTATTTGCAGGACAACCACATGAAGGTTCTAGCTATGCAGCCCACAAGGATCTTTTGATGACCTTCCACCGTCAAGAACATGTAAGGAACGGCCTCAACGAGCTAGAAAAGATAAAGGGGAGCATGCTTCAAGATAGACAGAGACAGTTTATGCCAAAAATGGAGCCAAAGTAACATGACACATCTGATATAATTAATTAATACATTTAATGTACATTCAGTGTCATTCATAGTGTATTTTGAAGTGAAAACATTTTGGAACAGCTTTATCTTGACGTGATAAAACTGTAGAATTTTGCAACAGTTTCATCCTGAAGTGACATACTTGCTGGATTTTGTAATAGTTATATCCTGATGCTATAAAATTGGAAATATGGCAACAGCTAGGTCCTGCACCTTTAAAAATTGCAACTCAACAACATTTGAAAACATTGAAGAATCGGGACATACAGTGTGCACAGAATGTGGCACAGTTGTCGAAGAAGTTCTACAGTTTGCTGAACCCAATGATGGCTACTATGTCCCATCTGCGTCATCTGCTGGGTATAATCTCCCTGACGATTATCAATACAAAACTGGTGAAAGGAAAAGTATAACAGTTGGTAGAAAAGTGGGAAATAAATTAATTGAGATAATGTGTCAAAAACTGATTTTGTCAAAAGCTCTTATGGAGGATTCTAGAAAATTATACGAAAAAGCGATATCAAAAGGAAACTTTGGATATTGTATTCGGCTGGATTCCAAACAGGCTCTCGCTTTAGCGTGTGTTTACATCATCTGTCGTCAAAATAATAAACACATCGCTATGACGTATCTGTGTAATTTGAGTGGCGTAACAAGAGCATTGTTTTCACAGTTTTTCCACAAACTAAAAGCAAAGTTCAACATATCAATTCCAGGCGTTGATATTGAAGACTACTACAGCTCTTTACATATATCACAAGAAGTCACAGAAAAGGTGCGACGTAATGTAATGGATCTTTATCATTTATGTCAAAATTGTTGGCTGACGACTGGTCATAACCATGAGAGAATTTTGCTCTATTTGACCTTCGTTGCTTGGGTTGCTGAGAGTTTTGGAAAACGGCGGAAGACTTCTTGGGGACAATTTACCAAACAGTTCAGAGTCAGTAACACAAAGGCAAATGATAAGCAAAAAAGTATTCTTAAATACTTGGTTGAAATGGCAAATAACATCCCATGGATCGAGTTGAGTGACTTCAAATATGACAAGGACGTTCTAGCCCATTTAGATGACATTTTGAAATACAGAAATATACTTGTAGATGAAATTACCATGGAGATGGCTAAAATTAAGGATAACATTGATGAAATGAATGAAACAGAAGTGGATAACTTTAAAGATGATACTGGTGATCCAAATAAAGATAAGTTTCCACAAGTGGGCGATGGTATCAAAAATGAAAAGCAGATAAACAATAACATGACTCCTGACATGGAACAAAAATCCGAAACTGGGAGGTGTGTATCACATAAAAACAATGATGTTGCATATGATAGAAATGAGAAAAAATATTCTCGACGATTCAAACGAGAGCGTCGTGATTGGACAGTGCCCAAAGTAAAGTCTCATAAAAGAATTGCAGATGAATCGGATAATATTATTATAGAACACCCAGATCTCGATTGTGAAGATTTAACCGAGTATGATATTCCTGATGAAGAGGTGGAGAAATATGTTAAATCTGAACATGAAGTTAAAAGATTGAAACTCTTCGATGCTCAGTCTGAATTTGATAATTGAGCACTATATGTATTATTGTACATACCAGGTACATAACCACTGACCTGTTAAAGAGAACACATTTTTTAATGATCAAGATATGTAAATGCAAAGTATTGATGAATAAAAAAATTGCAATCTGAGGTAGATTTGTTGAGTTGAGAGATGAATATTTTTACAATTAGTGACTGTCATTGAGGGTACTAAAGTCTATGTCAAAAAAATGTTGCAAATGGAATGCCTCTGTCCCAAATGAATTTGTTGCCAACACATCGGCAACTTTTCTCTCTGTGATAAAACTTTGCTGGCACCTGGGCGACGTCTAAAAATCGGCCTATGGTGCCCGATCATCGCCCGGCGCCCGGCCTGTACGATGCCCTGGCCCGCCGGCCGATTTTGAACAAAATAGTCATCGGCCAGGCGCCGTAGTGTAAATCACAGCATATGTAACTAAGGCATAAGATAGGTAATCACCCTCTGAATTATTTTTAGATGGAAAAATTGAATAGATTGTGCCATGATAAATTCTCATTGGAATTTTGTTTTCTAGCTTTAAAAATTAAATCAACTGAAGAAAAAGTTATTGAATCACAAACTCATTTGGAACAGAGACATTCCATTTGCAACATATTGCTGTTTTGTGGATAAAATTTTTTAATTGCAAATTCAAGCAAAAATGCTCATTTCTAATGCATTGACATAGACTTTAATGTAATTATTTCCACATGTGAATATCCTCAAAAATTTACTTTACTGCTACTTGGGAATAGTATATTTTAGAGGATAGTACCACGTGGAAATCATTTACACTATTGCTTGAAATTAGGCAGTCACTATCTATTTTATCATATACTTAATATGGCTGTGCTTATAGGTGAGCCAGGGTGGAACCAATTAAAATATAACCATTAGATGGAAGAAAAGAGCTTTAAAATGCTTTTATTTGAAGCTTCTAGCTCGATTTTGAAGGGAGTTGTATCAATCTTTGTAAAATTCAAAACAGATCTTTAAAAAAAGTTGCCTTGTTTTTTCAACTTTGAAAAAACCCAAAAGATTTGACGATCATATCTCTCCCCGTGACTGAAACCTGGCTACGCCTCTGATTCTAGTATTACTAGGATGTGTTCAGTTTACATAATTTTAGAAAGTATTGGCATAAGTGAAAACTATTTAAAACCGCATTTATCTTATTCAAAAGTGTTGATTTACTTGATTATCAATGATTCCTATAGCCCTAAGTTTGAAAAATGAAAATACCTGGGTGGTAATCCCTTGATTATCATGGTGAAATATATTTTGGGGATTACATGGTATAATCTTATAGCCAAATCGTTTTTAAGTAGTGTATTGATCCAATAAGGGTGATATGAGAAATAAATAAATATTATCATAGACATTGACAATATTGGACATGTACCTCCTGTACTAGCCTTGCCCAAATCGGTATTTTTTTTAATTATCTGATCTTGAATTATTACATAATAGAAATCAAAATAAGTACAAGAGACCGACTTGGGCAAGGCAACTCCTGTCCGTCTTAAAATAATTGCCAAATTGCAGTTTTAAAGGAAGATCAATCGAATTTATCGTTGTTCCAATATGTACATATCTTCATGATCTTTTTGTAGTGTGTACATGTATGAATTTCTGAGTATGGGATAACAATATTTTATCACCTACATCTAGGCGGGAACTTGAGACAACGACAACCCTAATGAGCGTTACTGGATATGTTAAATTGGGTATTTTTACATAATATTGATGTCTGGGGGTAATGTTCTAATTAATGATAATCAACACGTATCTTATTTTTGTTATTAATTCACAATATAAGGCATGAGAATCACGGGGTACGGTTGAATAATTTTGGCCGGAGCATGACACTACCAAGAAATAGCAATTATTTAGCACAGTTTATATTTTGACTTGGAATTTAATTCAATTTTGACAAAATAAAGCACTTCATGCAATGGCCATATCATTCATGATTTTATATAGGAGTTCTGTTGGAACCCAGTTCCGATCAAATAGGAAGTCATTGAAAACGGGGCAGACGTCTTTTACTCCGAAAGAACATATTTCTCGTAGTGTTATTGGAAAATTCTGTTATTTTTTTTTTAATTAGAAATATTACTCGACCGGAGCTGGGAATGAAGCCGGAGTAGATCATTTCTGCATTTGATCAAATAATCAGATCCTTTTCAAATATGGTGCACTGTATTCAACAATTTTACACATCTGATACGCCTATATTCACCCCATGCAAATATATCGCCTAAAATTACATTCGTATGATGTGAGACTCGACATTTACCAGCTGGATAGTTAAGTAGAAACATTTTGTCACCCTCGAAGCAAATTGTTTTTTTACTGCTTAATAAATGACGAATGACCATTACATTGAGTTCTATAAGTATGAGAGTAGCATGGCTTCTTGATAATCCAAGATAACTCGTTCGAAAAATGATGACGGTGGTTGAAATGACGATGTAAAGATAAAACCGCAACGAAATATTTGTAGATTTCTTTGAAAAACTAAGATATATACATCCAGACATCTCATATTGAATTTTTCAAAACAGAAAAACATGTATAAAAAGTAAGGCATGTAGGTCCGATTCTCCCTGGTAGCATTAACATTGGCCTCGTATAAGTCATACAATTAATATTTGAAACCCAACTATTATTCAAACTTATGATCGGACATAAGTATGATGTGTACTTCAATGTAATATCAATAAAGTAACATCATACTTATGTCCGATCATAAGTTCAAATGATAGTTGTATTTCAAGTATGAGACAAATGTTAATGCTTCCAAGTGGAATCCGACCTACAGGCCTTATATTTTGTACATGTTTTTTATGTTTTGAAAAATTCAATATGTGATGTATATTTCTTAGTTTTTCAAAGAAATCTACAAATATTTCATGACGGTTTTATCTTTACATCGTAATTTCGATCACCGCCATCACTTTTCGAATGAGTTACATGCAATTCTCATACTTATCGAACTCAATGTAACTGTCCTTGACCATCTATTAACCAGTAAAAAATTAATTTGCTTCATGGGTGACTAAATGTTTCTACTTTCCTGGTGAATGTCGAGTCTCGAATCATACGAATGTAATTTTAGGCGATCTGTCTGCATAGGGTAAAACTATTTTGTTGCATCATAACTAAAACAATGTTGTCTCAAAGAAGATAAGGTTCAAGCCTCCTGCAGTATGTTTAGTTGGTAATAAGAAATTGGTATAACATCACTACATTATTCATTCAATGACTATGGATTGTTCTACTTTTTTAGTCTTTCTAAGATAAGTGTACGTATACCATTTTTTCACAGCGGTTTTTTAAAAACGTTTTAATAAACTTCCGGCTTTTAGGCTGAATTGCGCCCGTCATTAGCACAGGTCAAAAAATTACCAAAAACTAAAATCCTTTTTTCACAATTTGGAGTACACAATGCGACAGAAAAGAATACAAAATTATTTTGAATAGCTTTTATAATTTGGTTTTCCAAGCTGAGGTTTTGAGGTTATTTTCTCATCAATACAAAAAAATATGTAATCGGTGCATCGACGTTTTGTATTGTTTCTCAGATATTAATAATATAAATGGTCGCTTTTATATTAGCATTACAAATGCTTAAATTATGCTAGTTTTTACAAAATGGGTTTCATTACGTTTTGAGATATGGACTGTTATTCCGCGGTGAACATTCAAATTGTATTTGATTATATGTATTTAGGTACTTTTATTTTTTAAATACGTTTTGTAAGTCTTCTTTATTCATTTTTGTACTATACTTTCCTAATTGTTAAAAGAAATATATTCATAATGTTTCGAATTGTCCGATTTGTATTTTTATCATAATGGGGACTTCACTTAATGAAAACATATTGTTTTAATAAAAACCACTGTATTATGCCAAGAAAGGACTCGTGGTAAAAGATATGACTGTGTAAAAAATGAAGTATATCCAGAATTATGGCAATGTCTATACTTTCTATACTTTCGATCTCCTTTTTCATACTATCTGCCTTCGACGTTTCTATAGTACTACTTTCTATACTTTCGAACTGCTTTTTCATACCAACTGCCTTTGACAAATCAGATGTCCATAGTTTCTATACTTTCGAAATGCCCTTTCATACTAACTGCCTTTGACAAAGCAGATGTCTATAGTTTCTATACTTTCTATACTTTCGATCTGCTTTTTCCTATAACTGTCTTAGACAAATCAGATGTCTATAGTTTCTATAGTTTCTATACTTTCTATCTGCTATTTCCCAGAACTGTCTTCGACATATCAGATGTCTATACTTTCTATACTTTCGATCTGCTTTTTCCCATAACTGTCTTCGACAAATCAGATGTCTACAGTGTCTATAGTTTCTATACTTTCTATACTTTCTATCTGTCACATATTGTTTTACAATGTATAGAAAGTATCGAAAGTATCGAAAGTATAGACATAGGGAATTCACCAAAATCAAAAGTATAGACAGTATAGAAAGTATAGACATGTATAGACTTTAGAGAGTCCAATCATCTAAGACTGAAAAAAGTATCATTTAAAAAAAGCAGTTCGAAAGTATAGAAAGTATAGATAGCATAGAATATGCCATAATTTTGGATATACATGTAAAAAATCACTTGCAATACCAGAATACGTCACATGGTTCTTTTTTGATTGTTCTTCTACCTATTTAACAACGCCCTCTTTTGGAATAATCCCTAAAATCTTGGGAGAAAATGGAAAAAATTAAAAATTCCTCCGACAGTAGTTCATCCATTTTGTAACTAGGCGGTGACCAGCGCACGTGATTTAATTAGTTTCTGATATAAAATGGGTATATATAGACGTTGCACTGCGAATTATATTATATAGCGCTTCAAAGCAGGTGGCTGAAACGCAGTAAGTATCTATATAAATATATTAATTATGGAATCTAAGTTCATCTAATTTTAAGTATGAGATGTATATTTCTCACGGCTTCTCCGACTTTCGCTTTGAGCAACATTTGTATTTACAGTAATTCTAGGTCTTGTTTTGTATGTATATTGTATATATTTATATAAAGGATATACATTACGTAAACGTAAAATTGGAAAAATCTTTACGA